TCCCCTGTCTTGGCTTTTCCTGCAGAGCAACTTTCATTTCCCTCCCAGATTCCACGGCTTCCTCCTCCCCACCCCCCAGATCCCCATAAATGTGTTCAGCTTTATTTCTTTCTCAGCACCAGATAGAGAATGCCAATGATGAAGCTGAAGCAGAAGCAGATCCAGGTCAGGATGAAGCAGTAGCCGTGGTGACTTCTGGAGTATATGACCCCATAACCCGCGTAATGATGAGTGAAGATGGACGCCCCGACCATAATGCATAGCCCTGCAAGGGAAAAAAAGTTCAGGTTTTGTTGTTTGTTTGTGGGGTTATTTTGGTTCTTTCTTTTCTTTTCTTTTCTTTTTTTTTACATTAAAACCAAGAACAGGTTTTATAATCTTTAAAAGATCCTAGTTCTCTCATCTGCAATGGGAAGGTGAAATCTGGCTGGCTGGCCCCAAAGAGTAGTTCGGTGGATCCGCCCTGATCTGAGCTCGGTGGCCCTGTTGGTCAGTTAGAGGTGCTTGGGCTCTCGCACCTGCACTGGGTTGGTAGCTGCAAGTGTGAAGCACAGACACTCGTGTCCAAGGCCCAGCACATGTAGGCAGGCTGCCCGGGCTGTAAGCATGCCACCAGACTACATGTGTGGGAAGAATGAAGGAGGAGAGTGGTGATCGCTGAGAGCACTGTGGCAGCGGTTTTCTTTCAAGGACTCCCACCCGTCAACCCTCTTCAAGCATCTTGTGCACAAGTGCCCCTGGTGGGCGGCCCACCACTCGGGGGCTGCCTCAGAGCACTAGACTTAAACAATGAAGCAGATGAGGGTTCTTATTCTAAGCAGCTATCAGAGGTTCTCAAAAAGAATAAATAACCAGAGCCACATGCTCATCTGTTCAAGTTGCCAGGAGCACCCCTGGTAAGGTCTTCTTAAAATCTCTGCCTGGGTGAACTGGAGTCGGCGCCTGAGATACTCACAGCACACCAGCATGGTGGCCCCCGAGAGGAAGAAGCGGTTTCCTTTCTCCATGGTGAAGAGCTGGAACACGAAGACCACGAGGGAGATGACAGAGAAGATGATGGAAAGGATCATGAAGGCCTGCACTGCCTTGATTGCATCTGTAGACACAGGGGAAGGAGAGCAAGGGGGTCAGGCCAACCAGTTCCCGACAGGCTGGACACTTCCCCGATCGCATGAATTGTGAGCACTGAATACAATCTTTATAGATACCTTCATCGGCGTAGATCAGGGTTCCATCGCAGTTACCTTGGGTACAGTTTTTCCAAAGACCTACTGATGCTTTTCCAAAATCTGAAACCACCCAGACCTGAAACCAGGAGAAAACAAAAAGTCATTTAAAAACTGACCCTCTGCTTTAAAAGAAATACCAAGTAAGCTTGTGTCAGGACCAAATCGTAAGCAAGACACCATCGTTAGCCATAAATATGGCTATGCCACCCATCCCTTGGTGGAAATAATATTCGACTAAGACTGAAGTCACAAAGGTCCCAAGAGAATAGGGAAGACTGTGTGACCAAGGGAAAATCACCTAGCCTTCCTGTGCTTCACATTCCTCATCAGTAGTTTAAAATTCTAAGGTTCTAAGAAATGGCAAGCCTGGATGAAGATATTGGTTTTAAGTGTGCACAATTCATGCACTCTCTCTAGATTGTATCATGTAAGGGCCTGGCTAAAAAGGAAAAAAAATTAAGGAAAATTTTCCAGCTGGTGACAACTAAGGAACACAAGGGTAACTAAGAAAACAGCAATAAGCCTGGGTGGTTAATAAGCCACTTTCATCTAAACAGGAGAATCAAACTTTGATTGTCACAACATGCAAAGTAATTTCATAGCAAAATAGTACAGCAAGAGCTTTACTGTGGGGCAGTTGAAAATGGAAAAGTGACCAGCTCCGCTTCTTACTGGGCCCAAGAAACACAGTTATCCTTCTGGAATGGAAAATAAACATCCAATCTGTCCACAAGGAGTGTCTGCTGCTAAAATGCACGTTACTGGAAAGGCAAGGCCAAGGACGTGCAATTGCCTGCCCCTGGTTCAATTTTCAGCACTTCAGCATCCACTACTATAGTCTGAAGTCATTTATCAGACCTGTTATCCTGAGAGACTCAGGGATTGGCGTTCAAATGGCTGAATTACAGTCTGGAGGAGGCTGCATCTTATCACCATCTTGCTTACATTAGCCTTGCTTATAATCACACCCACTAATGTTGGCAAAACTCTTCTATCTGAGCTTTAAAACCCATTTATCCCTTAACTGTAACAGGAACCTGAGCAGATTCTGGAACCACCATTTTCCTATCTAGCAACTGGTGGTTTTGTTTTTTGCATCCAAGGAGCTGTCTTGTTTTTTTCTGAGAAAAGCACTAGGAAAGCAAATTGGATGCTACAAACCAGCACTAGAGGGCAGAATAGCTCGAGGTTCAGAGAGAAGGGACTTGATTCTCTCCATAATATTTTTATGTTGTTTTGCTTGAGTGAGTGATAATCTTGCAAAATTCCACTTTCACACGCTACTACTCTCTGCTGGGAGCTTGAATATGTCAGTCTGGCAACCAGAGCTTCTCATCTCACTCCCGTTTCTCCTTCTAATCGAGGTTCCCCGACGGAAGGGAAGGTCTGCCCCTGACCCCTGGGTGTCCTCATTATGCCCTGAACAAAGCCTGTCCCTCCCACCTGGGCCCCTTGGTGAGCCTCCTGCCTGGAATGGATCCCTATGCTCCTCCCACTGTTCATCTTAAGCCAGGAGAAAGCCCAGCCATCCAGCAGTCCTCCAAGCTCCACCCCAGCTGAGAAAACTCCTGGAGAAACTGAAGAAGTCTCCTTGAGTTCTCCAGCCTCTAGGGCTTCATGCAGACACTGACTTTTATCTCCTGTTATTGAGTTATTTGAAGTGCAAGTGTGTGTTTATTTTTTTCTACAGCTAAGCTGAAAATTCATGAAGGGCAGGGATTGTTGCTTAAATGTCCTTTGTAGCATTTTATGTAAATATTTAAATAACTACTGGAAGAATGAATGAACGAAAGAACGTTACTCACATTGGCAATGGTGGAGACAAATAGCATAATGACGGTGGCGATGTGGACCACAAAGATGCCAGCCAGTAATACCAACATCTTGGCTTTTTGATAACTTGGTGAGTTCAGAGTCCTGAGAAGAAAGGGGAAAACAAGTGGGAAAAAAAGATTACTGTAGAGGCAAGAAGATAATTCAGCTTTCCCACGCATGTGGGCTAGCCGCTAAAATCTGAAGTTGCAATAAAAACCATCACAATTTCATCATAAATTCCTAAAAACACTTAGTGACCCTGGTTCCCTGAGTGCCTATTTGTCTATTGACATATATTGAAATATAAACACATTTCTGCATCTCAGGTATTTATATACCCATCTCTCCAAAACAGCCTGTTTCAAAATAAAGGACATTTTATGATAACTGTCAATATTTTATTTCCTTTGTGTTTTAGAGGCCAAAAGTAGAACTTGGGTTTTTAAAAGGCCTTTTGACAACTATAGTTTTCAGTGCATCAATGTCATATCAATTTCCTTTTCCACAAGGGAAGTGTCCTTGCTTCTGTCAAACTGTGCATCCAGCAGTTGTGATAGAAATGGATGCTTTCCTCAGAACAGCAGCTATTACTCAGGGCCCATAGACTGAATAGGCTACTAATTTGATCCCAGGTGAGATATAAAATGTGAGAGCCACAGCTTCTACTATTATCATGCTGTTTGGTATTCAATAATTATAATGACCTAATTACAGTTTAATGGTCTGGTCGCCTACTTATTGGCTATGTCAGGCTTGTATCATTGCACCTGAGCCTTTGGGCTGTGTGTGCCCCGTGGTGGGGAATCTGCTATTGGTTTGGGATACATGTTATATTTCCTACAACTCAATATGACAGTTCTGGGGCTTTAGAAGCATGCAGCTTGAGATACCACCAAATGTGCCTTCTGTGTGTGCATGACAATGATACAAATTCCAATCCTTCAAGAATGGATACTGAAGACAGGCAAGTGCATAAGTCACATGGGGGGGAGAATCAGGAACAAATGTAGATTAAGAATGTGCACGGATAAACAAAAGCATGCAGCCATCATCTCAGCAGTGTTGAAAAAGAGCCCATTGGTCATAAAACCCAGAAAGAAAAGGGAGTGGGAAGGATGCACATGGGAGGCTATTCTGATTTATGTCAGCTACGGGAGTGCTGTGTCGTGGCCAAAACAAGCAGAGACTTCAAAGCAAAGGGCTCCGGCTTATTCACACCCTAGCAGGGCCTAGCCCACTAGGGAGGAGACGGCTCTGCACATCCTGCAATCGTCCCACTTCTCTCTCTCACTCCACCTCATGTAATTGAAGCTTTGAGTGTGCTCGAGCCACTTTCCTATTGTACTAGGTATTTATTGGAGAGCACTAATTCCACCACTTACGGTGCCTTTTATCTCCGCTCAGGAAACACTGGAGTGCCTTGCTCTTTACAGGCCAAGAGTGTAGTGAGAGGCAGACCCTACTCCAACAAACCCTGCCCTCTTTCCCAATCCAGGTTCTTGCACATCTCCATGATTTTCTGCTTGACTTTAATGCTCCATGAAAAGAGGCTTTGGAATTAGATAGAGGTCGAGTTAGAATCATATAAAGTTATCTGAACTTTTGGTCTTAGTTTCCTCTTATATGAAGGGGGATTGCAACACTAATTGTACAGGGTTAAATTGGATCATAGAGTAAAACTCCTAGCACAGTGCCTGGCACATGGCAGGCACTCGGGGGGTTGCTTTGCTTGTGGTTATTAATATTACTATTATTATTATATGAAACTCAGTAGCTGTTGCCAACCCAACCCAGTCAATCAGTCACCAGGCTGCCCCATGTTAAGTGCAAGTATTAGGATATCTGCCACCTAGTTCACAAGGGCGTGTGTATACAATCATTTTGGTCCTCTTAGAATTGCCATTATGACTAATCCTTGCCGATTGAGTGGGAGACCACGTAAAACACACCCTTAGGAACAAGGAGGAGAAAGTTCGTTCTTCTCAGCCTTCCATGTCTTTGGGGATTCAACAGCATTTCTGTCTCCTTGGTCAGCCTGATTGGCACCTGCTCACAGTCTCCATTTTGATGACTTGAACATCACTGCATTTCAAACACCCTCCTCCCACTGCACCCCTACCTTGGCCCATCCACACACACCTGGGGCACTCAAGTTCCTGGCCTGCATATCTCACTTCTGATCTAAACCACAGCCCCATCCAGTCACTGTCCCCTGCCCAGCTCTGGCAGGAGGAGTGGTTGGGGGGTGGGGGAGGAATCAAGCAAAGAAGCAACTCTTTCATCTTAGATTTCTGTGGTTGTGCCACATCCACTCACCAAGGAAAGGAGCACAATGTCTTGGAATGGCAAGTGTTCTTAGTGTACAGAACACACAATTCTCTCTGCTTTTGACCACTGGATACAGCCAGAGGTAGGGGCTGTTTAGTGGAGCTATCACATAATACCTATAACTTCATCTTTCCTCTGCCCAACATTTGTCAGGGTTTTCAGTGTCATCCATTGTCAGCGTAGAGGGGTTTCCATTATTTCCAGTGGCCCTCCCAACACATAAGGAAACAGAATGAACTGTAGTCTTAATTTCTGGCCTGGATTATCCCTAATTACTCAGTCCCTATACTAATGACCCCCAGCAGAGAAACTCCCAGCCTGGGGAAGGGGGGTGGGAGACAACCCTTAGATCTTTATGGACGAGTGGCACCTAATGTGTGAATGTTTGGAGATCTAACAAATAGAAGAACAGAATGGGTTTAAATAGTAGCAGATTCCCATTCTCCTGACTTCTACCCACCCATCACTTGCAGTGTAGCCTGCAGGGAGACTCATTTCCTGCCCTGGTGTGTATCTTGTTTCATACAAAAGCACTGAAAAGAGACCATTTCTGAGCATTTGTATCATTGGAAGTATCGGTTGCTACAGCTTTCTTTCCTGGCAGCACGTTTCACTAAAACAATAACTGACTTCTCCCTCACACCTCTCTGAGATGCTATGGATGACACCCTCCAATGGAAAGCATACCCCTAGTCACAGCTGGGCAGCTCGAACCAGGAAGCAGACAATAACAGGATTGCAATTCTGAGTACTTGGGTGCAATGCCTGCCTCTCTCCAAGAATTTGGTGCACGGGGAAGACCCAAAGTTTGTCAGTTGGTTGTTGGGAACTCCCATAACAATAACATTATTTGTGGTGCTTAGACTCTCAGATCCAGGCCACCAGAGCTAGTCAGCTCAGTGTCCTTAAAGAAAAGGATGTCTACTGACTATACTATGTGTGGTTCCAGGAACACATTTCTCCACTCACCACTGTAAGCAGAGTGAGATCTCCCCCTTTACCCTCACCAACCCAACATGCCAGAACAAGCTTGGTCAAGGCTCCATGGGGCTGGGTGGGAAACTGAGAAAAATATAGGAGGCATAAATGTTGACTCTAGAGAGATGTTAAGAGAAATGGAGGTAAGAGACTTACAGCTACACATGGGTTCTCTGTTATCCAGCTCTGGTTCTTCTTTCTGCCCTAACGCACAGGCCAGCCAGTTCCCTTTCCACCACCGCCATTTTTTGTTTCTGACCACGCTTCTCCTTTCCTCCCCAAAATGCCCAGGCCACATTAGAGAAGTGGTCTCTTTATGCACCTGTCCTGGATGCAAGCCTCACAAACACTGACCATTCTAGATCTGGATTAAGTTCTTCGCTAATAGAAAATGTATTACAGTTAGTGGAAATGGCCCTGGAGATTGCAATTGCTGGTGATTGGGGCTGTCAATGATGACCTCATGTGGGTGAGGGGAGTAACTGCCCTCTCTAGTTGTCTCCATCCACTTAAATTTTTGTTGGTTTCTTAACTCCCTCTTATACACACCTCTCTGAAAATAAAAGAATTGAAGGAACATAGCTCTGAGACTGCCTTGCATTGTGTCTTTGCCTTTGTTTAGAAATTAATGAGGCCCTTGTGGACACCTTTCCTTTTTTAGTGAGCAACTAGCACCGCAGAGACTTTAAGAACAGTTGACTTCTAAAGATGTTGGTCATTTGGCTCTATGGTTGCTAAGCTCGGGGTCAGATAACTTCTTCCTGCCATGTTGTCTGTGTGCTTATTAAGCTGCCACCAGCGTCTAGGGGAAGCAGTTCTTTAAGGGTGATCTGAGTACAATGATTGGGAGCAATACAATAAAATAAAGTAACCAAAATTAATTAATTAATTAACAATTAATTAATTAATTAAAATAGAGTAACCAAAAACCTACTTCTCTAGCAAAGGAAATGGTGGAAATCCTGGGCTTGAGTCATCGAAGAACAACCATGAGCCCGGCGGTATAACCTAATCAGAAACAGGGAGACCAGGGGCTGTGTGAGCAGCAGGAGAGTCCCGCAGAGCTCAAATGTCCATGATTCATCTGAGAGTGGATGAGATTCTCCCAGACAAAGGCTACATGGAGACACCCTCTACCAGATGGCGCAAGAGAGCTTTCTGGGAAGCCAGAGGCTCTGGCTGGCTGCAGAAAGCAGTTTGGTCATTTCCCTGACAGCCTAAAATGGCCCAGGCTTTTGTGGGGAGAAGAGAGCAATAACTTAGCCAGATGCTAAGTTTCCTGTTTCTCCTTCCTCTCACCCCGGTTTTAATGCCCAAAACACAGTCAAGCCATGAGTTCTTCCTCCATTATTTATCTTGCATCCATTCTTTACTTCTAATTGTCCTTGTCCAGTTCAGGTCCTAGCCTGGACCACAGCGTCAGCCCCTACCAGGGTCCTTTTTCTGAACTCCCCCTCTGATATATTTTCCACACTGCCAGTGTGTTATCTGACCATCTTATTTCTCTGCTCAAAATCCTCCAAACTCCCCACAACCAGAAACGAGGCTCCAAACACTGCATGCATGCTGACCCTGGCAATCCCAGGAATGTGGAGATCCTAGGAATTTGGTTTCAAAAAAAAAAAAGGTGTCCTTTCTCCAGTAACTACCTATCAAATTCTTTTCAAAAAGTTCAAATCCTGCCTCCTCTAGGAAACCTCCCCAGATACAGAGGTCAGAAGTCATCATTTCCCCCTCTGTTATGCTATAGCCCTCCCATAGCCCTTTATTAAAACCACTAGTGGCAGCCTGGCTGG